ACTTTAAAACTCAAATTTTGATGTTGTATCCTGAAATTTTCATTATTTTTTTTTTAATTCAGTCTTTAAAAAGATTAAATTTCGACTTTCATTTTCGGAATTCTAACTTAAACTCGCAATTCTGACTTCAAACCTGTGAATTTTGACGTATTTTTCCGAAATCCTGTTTCTTTAATTCGTCTTGAGACATCAAATTTCCGGTTTATTTTTAGGAATTGTAACTTTAAAACTCGAAAACAAATTTGTGAATTCTTTTTTTTTTTGGAAATTCAATCTGTAACAAGATTTTCAGAATTCCAACTTAAAACTCGCAATTCTGACTTCAAATTTGTAAATTTTGATACTATTCTGAAATTCTCACAATCTTTTCAGAAATTCAGTCATTAAAACATTAAATTTTGGTTTTAATTTTCGGAATTCTGACTATTTTTGCATAGAAGGTTTAAGAATGATATTTTTTTCAGCGAATTAATATAAATTGAAAAACTATAAGATAATTAATGTTTTTATTAACAGTAACAAATTTTTGAATTCATTTTAATGTTTTTAATAGTTTTCACGAAAAATCGCCACAATTGACGTGTCATTTTTTTTAAATAAAATAAACTTTGTTATTGTTTTCACCTCGTTTTGCCTTTTTTCTAGATCTCAGTTCAAGTGTCTCCCAATTGTGCAATTGGGCAAATATTTGTGTTTCTAGCAAGTCAACAATCGATAATCATGCAAAACACAATTAAAATTGTCATTTTTCGATAAATAATCGTTTTATTTGTATGATGTAGGTGAAATGTGTGTGTGTAATGATTGCTTGGTTGAATGTAAGAATAAAAGAGAGGGTTGTGATTTATGTTAGGGCCGATAACACACACGTTCAATGCCCGTTGTTGGGGCTACATTTATCAGTGTTAACCGCATATTCGCTAAAGGCAACATGTTCAAGCTTGCTTTGTATTCTTTCCAAGACTCGATACATTGTTGGAAAATTCTTATCACTTGAGGAAATTTTAATTAAATCTCTTTTTTAAAATAATTAAGACGTTGTAATTATTAGTGGAAATTGCAAAGTTTCAACATAAAATTCTCAAACTTGACTGTTTTGAGACGATTTAAAGCAAGTTTTAGTTTTATTCTTGAAGTTTGAAACATTAATTGTGTTTATACTTATACAGAGTGAATATAAAATATGGAACCAAGCGGTTTTATTTTTAATCATTTGCCTCCAGAAAATAATAATTAATATAAATTAAAGTAATATAAAAAATTTGATCGTATTTTCAGAACAAAATTTTGTTTTGTTCTTGAGTTATGCGATTTTTTTGTGAAAATTGCAATTTATGTGAAAAAAATTTTTTGAAAAAATTAAATATAAAGCAGGTAGTTGTAATCCTTAGAGTATAGCTTTTATGAGAAAAATGATTTTATAGTGAGTTGCCATTTAAAAAAATAATTTTTTTGTAGAACTCAAAAATAAAAGCAAATTTCGAAAAATTTTATTCTTGTTAAATCATCACATTTTTATAGTACTTTATCACTCATCAATTAGTTTTTTCAAGAAATAAATAGTTTAAGCAAAAAACGTTTGGTTCCATACTTTTTATTCACCTGGTATATAAGTTATGTTAACAGAATACGAATCGCGAATTATTATTCAGTTATCACAGGAATTATTTTCTAATCATTCCTCAAAGGAAACATCATTCAAATTTTATTGAGTTTGTGTACAGTTTAATGAACCCATGTATGCCAATTTTGCCTGAAGACGGGTTAAAATGGTACGAAACGTAACAACTCAACGTTACAACTCAAAATTCTAACTATTTTTTGAAAATTCAGTTTCTAAAATCATCAAATTTCGTGTTTATTTTTCGGAATTCTAACTTTAAAACTCGAAATTCTGACTTCAAACCTGTGAATTGTGACGTGGTGTCCTGAAATTCTATTTTTTTTTAACCGTCTTGAGAAAGATCAAATTTCGTGTTTATTTTTAGAAATTCTAACCTTAAAACTCAAATTTTGATGTATCCTGAAATTCTCATAATTTTTTCGACATTTTGACCTTAAGTTGTGCATCTTGAAATTCTAACTATTTTTTGAAAATTCAGTTTTAAACATCAAATTTCGTATTTAATTTCCGGAATTCTAACATGATTTTTGACATTCTGTCCTAAAATTCTGAATATTTTTTTGAAAATTCGGTTTTTAAAATCATCAATTTCGTGCTTATTTTCCAGAATTCTAATTTTAAAACTCGAACTTCCGACTTCAAACCTGTGAATTTTGACGTAGTGTCATGAAATTCTGATTTTTTTAAAACCTTAAATCTCGAATTTTGATGTTGTATCCTGAAATTGTCATTATTTTTTTGGAATTTGTGTACAGTTTAATGGACCCATGTATGCCAATTTTGCCTGAAGACGGGTTAAAATGGCACGAAACGTAAACAAGTCGAGATTAATTATTGCGAAGAAAAAATATTTGTCATCTAAAGTGAATTTCTTTGAGGATAAACCAATGTTTGGGTATTTATATAAAGGGAGTCAATATTGATTGTTAGTACATAGAATTGTATCCAAGGAAGTATCAATGTAAACACATGGAATATTAATTTCAAATAAATTTGTATTAATTTATTTGAAATTGAATCTCGAACAGCTTTTATAAGGTAAGTCTGGGAAAGATGGACCACATTTTGAAAAATATGCTGTAAAATTATTATTATTATTCTCGTATTAAATAACAAACTAAAAAGTATTCTTAAAGTTTTCAACTTTAAGACTTTGAAGGAATAATATTTTTTTTCTATGAGAGAAGATTCTAATGTGGGCGAGTTTATAAATAAACTTCTTTAAATACAGGTGAGAAGTGTGGTTTATTCTGACACACCCAAGAGTGACAGTCATCATGATCTCATTTCTACAATTACGTCCTAGAAGCAGGAAAAGACAAAGTCTCGTTTAGGGTCTTTTATGAACGTAATTTGGCAACAACTTCATGAATTTACAAATGTTGCGTAATTTGAGATGAAAAATCGACCTAAAAATGCAGTTTTTGTCCCCAAAGACTCGTACACTGAAATCACATTAAAAATACCACAAAAAAAACTGTAGAATTTTCAAAAAGTGTGATGTCCCCTGAAAAAAAATTAAAACATGACCAAGGAAAAAAGAAAATAAAAAAGTTAAAAAACTAGAAAAAATGAGAAAAACTCAAACAAAAAATAATTTTTTGACATTTTGTGAATTTCGACGATAACAGCAAAAATTATTTCATTAAAAAAATAAAGACAACAAATTTTACATAAACATTGAAATGAGAAGAAGAATTAAGCATTTCAAATTATCAAAAATTTGAATGTTTTTCTCAAACAATAACTAAAATTTAAAAAAAAATTAAAAATAAAGGCAAAAATTCAAAAAGAAAAAACGATTTTTATCTAAATATTAAAAAGAAGCAGAGAAATGTAAAAAAACGTTTCTTTTCAATGTCTTACAATTTGTTTGTATTTACAAAAAATCCCAATAATTTTGTAGAATTTTCAAAAATTCTAAACCATTTCGAGAATTTTCAATTTGTTGAGGAAAATTGACTTAAATTTCGTGGAATTTGTTGAAAGTTTCTGAAAATTCCATCAGTTTGAAACGCTGATTTTCAATGAATTTAAAAATGTTTTTTTTGAGATGAAAAATCTACCTAACTGCAGCTTTTGAAGTGTTCGAAAAATCGTAAATAAAATTTTCGAGGCTTAAAATTGCACAGGAATCACCTTAAAAGTCCCACAAACTATTTCTTTTAAATGTTTTGCAATTTATTTGTATTTACGAAAAATCCCAAAAATTATGGGAAATTTTTATTTATGATTTAACCGACAGAAAAATCTGTTGAGGATTTTAAGCTTGAGAAAATAAAAAATTAAAAAAGTTACTTCAAATTTCGGGGAATTTGATAGAATTTTCTGAAAGTTTTTGCAGTTTTTCCAGGTTTAGAAACGAGAAATTGTGAATTTTTGTCTATTATTTTAAACTCTAGTTTGTTTTTTGTGTTTATATTTTTGCAGAAAAAATAAATTCTTAAAAAGACAAAGTCCTGTTTAGGTTCTCTTAGTAATTTTAATTTTTTTCAATAATTTTTCATGATTTTCAATAATTAGAGATGAAAAACTCTAGCTAAATTTTCTGTCCCTAGACACTCAACAAAATGATTTTTTAACTTAAACTTGTTAAAGTTTTCTGTAAACCAGAAAGGAGATTTTCTAAAATTACTCAAGGAGTTAAAAGTAAGTTACAGTTTTTAAGTTATTTTTTTTTATTTTCTAAAAATAAAAATTTACACTCCGGGTGATTCCGGACTCCCGGAAACGCTAATATTAGGTCAATTACTTGAAAACTACTCGTCGCAGCGTGAAAAATGAACAATTTTCAGTTTCCTAGTGTTTACTTTTCACCTGAAACACCCCAAAGCTCGTAAAAACCCCAAACTTAATTCTGAAATCAACAAATTCCACCTGTAATAAATCTCCAGCCCCTCCAAGACGGCTTTTCAGCCAGTGTATTACATGAAAAAAAAGTTTCAGTACCGCATTGACGTACAACACAAAAAGGGGCTTCGAAAAAGGCACACTTGGAAAACAATGAAGTGCATTGTTGTCTAAATACCGGAAACACAAATGCAATTAATGGTGAGCGTTTAAATAAGCCAAAAAGCCGTTAATTCAGTCCATTTTGACAGCATTTTGTAATCACCCGAGACCATTTTAAACGCAAAATTCACTGATTACTCAATGCATATTTAAGCAGTTCGCTTTTAATTAACTGCAAAAAGAGGGGGAATCACCAAATTTTTCATCCCTAAAAAAGCCGGTCAAGAATCAAGTCACCTGTTCTTACGACAATTGTCGCAAATTTACACAAACAGCGGGAGAAATGAACTAAAAATCGATGTTACCTCATGTCAAGTGTGCGTATTTGGGGTATTCCCCCCTCTCAAATAGTTTGCCAACTTACCGAGACATCGTTTAAAAGTCCATTTGAAAGAAACAACACACAAATAAAAGTCGCAAATGGCAACATTTTTGGTGGATTTCTCACCGAAAGCACAACACTGAAACGCGACTCCACTGTCGTTGGGTGGATTCTCACGACTGACGACAGCTCCACCTACCAGGAAGTGGCTGCGCATGCGCAGACTTAGTCATCGAGAGAGAGAGGTGTGGAAGTGAGATGGAGATAGATAGGGGGGGAGGGGGGTGTCTAGACTGGACCAAAGGGACCGACAAACTACTTGGTCTTGGACCATTTGGGGGTTATGGGGCTTGAAAATGGGGCTTCCACTATTTATTACTCACCCTGTATATGAGTTATTTCACAATCTAATTGTGTCAAGTTTTCCTGAAATTAACGATTTTTTAATTTTCTACTTGACCTGTTAACATGGAATGTAATCAATTGTCTGAAAATAGGCAACTTGATATTTAAATATCAAGCGCGAAACATAATTTKTATGTAATAAAATTTCAATCACCATGTAATAAAATTTTGCTAAATTCTTCTAAATTGTTCACAAAAAAACATCTTTTGTTTTTGAATTTTTTGCTTAAAATCTGTTCAAAGTTGCAGCAAATATACAAATAAAATTTGCGTAAAATTTGTCCCGAATTGTTGTGAATAATCAAGGTCAAAGAAAATTTTTACGAAATAAAATCTGTCACGAGTTGACGTGAATGTGACTTCATTATAGATGAATACATTAATACAATTAATACAGAATAAAAAAAGACAAAGTGATAACCAATTTTAGTAAATTTGCTTAAAATCTGTTCCAAATTATTGTGAATAGTCAAAAATATTATTTTTTTTATAAATTTGAAGGCTTAATTGCGGCTAAATTTAAAAAAATAAAATAAAATTTGTTACTAAATAAAGCATTACTTTCGTCTGCTTCTTTTTATTTGAATGTTTAAGTATAAATTATTCTTTGTTTATGAATTTTTTGCCTTTTTGTCTA